AGCCAACCGCGAGGCGGCGCGCGCGCAGCCGCAGAGCCGCCCTCGCGGCCGCGGGGAGCGGGACACGCCCCTCCTGCGCATAGGGCGTGGCCTAAGGCAGAGTGGGGGGCCCTGACGGAGAGAGGGCGGGGCTTACGGAACAGAGGCGGAGTCTAACGCCAATAGGGCGTGGTCTGTGATAGATGGGCGTGGTCCAGGGAGGAGTGGCCGCGGTCTAGGGAGGAGTGGCCGCGGTCTAGGGAGGAGGGGGCGTGGTCTAGGGAGGAGGGGGCGTGGTCTAGGGAGGAGGGGGCGTGGTCTAGCGGGGGCGCGGTCTAGGGAGGAGTGGCCGCGGTCTAGGGAGGAGGGGGCGCGGTCTAGGGAGGACGGGGCGTGGTCTAGGGAGGAGGGGGCGCAGTCTAGGGAAGAGGGTGCGTGGCTTGAGCCCCCACCGCCCTTGCTCCTGCAGCCCCCTCTACTTGGGGGGCCCTTTGCGCGGCCCCCCCCTCTGACGTCATGCCGCAGAGGCAGCGCCCCCTCCCCGCCGCAGGCGGAGGCGCCGCTTCCTCCTCGCTCCTCTCCTTCCGCTTCCGGGGCGCTGCTCGCGGGGGAAGGAGGCGGTGAGGCGCGGCGGGGGCGGGGCCCGGCGCGGGCGGCCTCACTTCCGGCGCGGGCTGTGGGTGTGTGTGTGTGTGACGGAGGCGGGTCGCAGTCTGCATCCGGGTCAGCGGGCGCTTCCTGCCGGCGGCGCGGCGGGCCGGGGCGCGGTGAGTGCGGGAGGCGGCGGCGGGGCGGCTCCGTTCCGGGCCCTCCCGGCTCCGCTGCGGCCGCGAGGGACGTTGGGGCTTTGGTTCCGCTCATCCGGGGGCGGAGCGGGGGCTCGGGCCGCAGCGGGGCCGCTGGCTCCGGCCGGAGCCAGCGGCCCCGCTGCGACCCGAGCCCCGCTCCGCCCCCGCGCCTTCCCGCTGCCTCCCAGACACTACCGTTAAGACGCTCGTTTTGAGCACCGGTTTTCTTAGGATTCCCATTCCTGCCCGGACACCGGCGCRGTCCTGGCTGTGGAAGCGCCCGGGGCAGGATTTGGGCTGCTGTTGAGCTGTCCCTTGTGGTTGTTGTTTTGGTGGTTTCTGCCCTTTTCCCCCGTGCCGTGCATGTGTGATATGGCTCCCTTCGTTCGTCTTGCACTTTAGAGTGATTTTCAACGTCTTTGTAGGCTCCTGTTAAAATAACGAGTAACGTTACAGCTGTTGAAAYGCACGTTGGGTGGGAAGCCTTTCTAAAAGGCTGTTTCAGACTGACTGTAGCTGATGGGGTTTTTTTTTTTTCTGTGTTGGTTCCAAGCTGGGAAGCTTCAAGACTACAATTGTGCTTTYGTTTAAGTAAAAATGCCGCTAATTAAAAAAGAAAAAGGCCTATGGTCTGCTTTCTGATCACAATTCCTCAAACAGTCTGTGTAGGGTTTGTTGACCTACTGGTTGCCTTGGTTGTGTTGGGATTAGAAACCTTGTTTTCTTACTAGCTCTTTACTGTATAGGAAACAAGAATTCCCTGAGATGAAAATGCAGTCAGTAGCATGTTAAAGATAGCGGTTCTGCAAACAAACGAACAGTCTAAAAATCCCCGCTCTTTCAGTCTTGTGCTGCGAGATACCTTTGCCTTGGTTCTTTTGGCCAAGTCACCCTCAGTCCGGAGTTGAGTCTCCACCCGTTCTCCTGTACCAGGCTCTCAGAGCCGGGCCCGAAATCCCTTTCCTGTGACAGGAGCAGAGTGCGGAAGGGGAAGGAGGACACCGAGTTTGGGTGGAGTATTGGGCTTTCTCAGAACCCTAAAGAGTGTGTGCTTGTAGCTGCTGCGCTGTGAACTGTTTTATAGAGCCCCGTGAGGCAAATAGGTGCTGTCAACACCTGGGATTTTTGCAGCCATCTTGAGTTGTCTTTTTTTCCAATTTTTCTTCCAGCAGAGTTGCCATTGCTGAAGATCCTTAATGCCAGATAACCAACCTACTGCGGAATAGCCATGAAAGAGACGAGGTAGCTGCCGAAGTGTGAGACAAAATCTGATTTCAATGGATACAAAATATAAAGACGATTTATTTAGGAAGTATGTACAGTTCCATGAGTGCAAACTGAATGCCCCTGACAGCAAGCAGCGCCCTATTAATGATGAATATTTGCGAGTGGCGGCGTCGGCCTTACTTTGCCTTCCCAAAATTGATCCCTTTTATAGATTCCGGTTGATAAAATTCTATGAGATGGCTGAAAACTCCCTGAGATCTCTGAAATCCTCAAGTTTACAGTCTCTCCATAATGCATTCAGCATGCTTGAGACAGTTGGAATTAATCTCTTCCTTTACCCCTGGAAAAAGGAGTTCAAAAATATTAAGGTAAGACATTTTTGTGTGGAATAGAAAGAATATGATTTTTTTTAAAATGTATTTCATGCATTTCCTTAAATTTTTTTTTCTATCTCTTCAGACAGTGTAATGTATATATTATTGTAGATGTATATTTACATTTGTTAACTGTATGCGATTTCAAACAGAAGTTGTAGGAAAGGTTAGATTGGCTCAAAAGGTGAGGTGTATTTTATAGTAGTGAGAGCAGCCAGACAGTAGAAATCAAAGTCCTGTCTGCATTCACAGACTAACCATAAAACTTGCCTAATGGTTTTGTTCAGACTGTGCTCCTGCTATGCCTTATTTTCTGCTTGGAGATGCATTTCTGAGGGAGTATGGTCAGGTGGCCTGTAAACTCGCTCCAAATTGTTCCTTATACTCTCTCTGCTATTAATTTATATTAACAAGTACTAACAGTCAGTCCTTGCTTTTAATTAGATGCATTGCTGAGGTTCCCACGAGTTATATAACGACARTGAGCAAATGGCTCTGAAATAAAAGCGTCAAGAATATCTCTCGCTTGTTGGGGGGTTCTCAGCTCGTGAAGCTTTAACTATAGCGTGCTTTTAGGTTATTTACCTATGCCAGGATCTGACATAGATTCCTACATTTTTGTACCTATATTGCTTGGTTTGGATGCTGGAGGGCAGCTAGTGACCTGCTGTCAGTTTTGTCTTTTACTGGTCTCGTGTGYTTGTTTAAAGCTGCTGCAGCATTTCAATAATAAATGCTACAGGTGACTTGAAAGAAATATTTTGAAACCTATGCTGGATTAAAAGCATTCCTGGTATAGGAAAACACTTTTTTTTTTTTCCCCCCGAAAAGATGCCGTTTCACAGCTTAGCAATTAATTTAAACGTGAAAGGAATATTTGAGAGCTCTCTGTTTCTCTTAAGGAGAAACTTGTGTTTCTCAAGATCTCTGCATTTATCTGCTTCATTATTCTGCTTAAGTTCAGGCTTTTGGAACGCTGGCTGCTCTGTTCAGAATATCTCTCGATTTGCTGTTGATGTCGACTTTGATTGTGCACCGTGGGTCTAATCTTTGATCCACCCAAGGATGCGATGGCCAAACTATTTCTGCTTGTAATCACAATTTGAGCAGTGGTGAGAACATAGCTCAGCTAGGCCAGGTGCTAAGGGAAACAACTCGTACAAATTGCTGCATCTATGTGTGTCTTTTCTTTTTTCTTTGTCTGTAAATTCTAGTTTAAGACTTAGTTTAAGATTAAAGAAAACAATTGTTCAAAACTGTGTATTCTGAAGTGGTAAAAGTTGTTATTATACATAATACTGAAGGTAGCTATGTCTACTCGGATATTCTGAAATATTATTGCAATTTTGCAGTGAAATTGGCATTTTGTTGTTTCAAGTAAGGGACTTAAGCTTTGCTTGTGGTTTGGCATGTACATCTGAACTTAAAACTAGTCTTAGTTGCTTGAGTTACTATTTTACAATCTGCTCTGAGTTATTTCAGGCTAAATACTTGCTTATGCAAAGCACTTGAGAGGAAGTTCTAAGAGGACCCAAAACTGAAAATAAAGTGTTTCGAGGACTGCTCTGTAGTCAGACAGTGCTGTTATTTCAAAGGAGTGATCAGTATATTTGCTAATGTTGAATTGCCCAGATTGGGAGATTCAATTTATTGGTCTGAATGGATATATAACTTAGTAGCCCCAGTTAAAATCGACCCAGAATGTTTCTCTAAGTGCATTATAATATGCACAGCTAATGTGTGTTCCAGAGAATTATGTCTATTCTTAGACAACTGCTGTCTTTCACAATTTAGTATTCACAGCAGCTCTTATCTGATACATGTCTGCAATGTTAGCTGCAGCACACATGAGCTAGGTAAACCTCGTTAGAGCTTTAGATTTAGTCAGCAAGTTATGCTAAGGTTGCTGAATTCCCTAGAATTGCCTGCAAATGCCAGGGTATGACTTGCTGATTTAAATCAACAGGGAGGCCGTTATGCTAATCAGGATTTCAGTTTGAATGAAAAGTCTCTTACTTTG